GGCTATTGATGCTGTGTTCTTAGTATGGCTTGGTTTCGACTGCGTATTAGAAGACGGGGAGCTCTTTTTCTTATGTTTATTCTCAGATGTTAACTCTTCGGGAGGCCTGATCCTCTTTGCCCCAGATCTTGTGAGAGAGTCCGATTTTTCCATAGGAGTGTCGTGGGATTGACTAACTATGAAATCATGAAGCATCTTTTTCAATTTCATCCTCTGCGCTCCAGATAGTCTTCTTATTCATAGGTAGTTTAGCTATGCTATCACTTATCTCTTTCACCGTTTGCTCTACTTCATCCTTCTTGGAATTTGCTATAATGGTGTTGTTATTATCATCTGAGGATTCAGAGTCGGAACCTTGAGTGAAACTAAAACTGAGGGAGGACAGATGGTCCATCATCACCCTTTATCCGCCACCCGCGGGCGCGCTCGGTAGGAAAAACGGGAAAACTCTCCCGAGTTGAAACAAATTAATTAGCTAATATTTTCATTCAATAGTAGTAGATGAAATCCCAGTAATAACACACAAAAAATAACGTATCAAAAATACATTTATTATTTAGTACCTTTTGAACAACTGTGTTTTTTTGTGCTTCTACTAATACATTCTCACCAGTTAGGTTTTTGACAGGGGACTTAGGTCTTTGACAATCCCCTTTTGCATATATGCTACTATATGGCTGTATCCTTTAACTGTTTTTCTTCTGTACGGACATTTTTTTGAGTTTGATTATAGAGGTGTTGCAATTAAAAAATATTTTACAAAAACATAGAGTATTATTTAAAATTTTTGCAATTAGAAAATTTATTAGGACAATATTTCCTATCATAAGAAACAATTTTTTTGTAAATCGGATAAATATTTTAGAAAATATTACAAAATATGTTTTTAAATACATGCTGTACGGACAATTGTTTGAGACAATGTAAGTTTGTCATTCCATTTATAATTTCTACAATATAATTTTCCGACGCTATAAAGTATATACAGTAGTTTTATAGCAGAGACTGAAAATAACTGGGCCACATAACCAAAGTGATTGAATTGTGATTTTTTTTTTAATAAATCACTCAGAATAACAGTTATAAAATGAGTTTTACTTAAATGGTTTAGTATAACCTTTACTACTTTTGTTTTGTTACTTATGTTTTTGGCTGAGCACTTGGGGTTTGTATTCCTTTTTTCTCTTGCTTATGAGAGTGGGAGAGTATATTGTTGTTGTTTGCTATGATTTCTGAAGATAGTTTGTGTGTATGTGTGTCCTAATCGTGTATTTACATTTGCGATTTATTGTTTTGCTTTTAAAAATAAAAATCATAAACAGACCTTTTCAAAAATGTTTACAAAATAAAAATCAACTGTAGCGAGTTATTTTGTTTTTCTTTTCGGTTTCTCTCAACCACTTATCAAAAAATATCTAACATAAAGGTTTCTCTCAGTGATAAACTGAAAAAACAATATTATAAATGGTGATCACAGCAATTAACCTTATTTTCAGTCTCTGGTTTATAGTCATCAATTTTCTTAGATTTAAATGTCTCTGTTGATCAATTTCATATAAAAAGATTACTTTTTAGTCCATTTTTGATATAAGCACTTTTCACATATATGAAATCTACACGTGGCTATTAAAAGACATGTTATATGAAAAAACTTCACGATATTGTCACACACGAAATTTTTTTCTAAAAAATTAGTTTTCAAAGTCGCAAACCACTACTATGACAAAAAATGTATCGTAAATTAACTAGTAAAGCTGCCTACACACTATGAGAGAAGTCGTTAGATTTTTATTTCATACTGTCAAAACAAAATCAAATGAAAATTGGTATGATTATCAAAAAAATAAAATCAAATAGAAAATATATTTTGTTTTTACACTATCAGATTTGAAATAAAATGAAAGATCAATTTGAAAAAATACAAAGAAAAACAAGTAAGAAAGTATTGTCAGGCATGACCGACCATATGATACCCAACATCAGTTATGAATATTATGATTTATTTTTCATAATAAAAAGCATTTATCTTCAATATTACCTTGTTACGATACATTTAAGCAATTTGTGGATGAAAAACTAATTTTCTGAAAGAGGCTTTATATTTGTGAAGAAATTTTAAATGTAGTAGATATTTTGCGACATTTTTGCTAAGAGCAAGATATACATTCAAATTTTTTTAAACAAGTAAGAAAATATAGTCAGGCGTGACCGACCATATGATACCCTACACCAATTATGAATATTAAATGTGATTTTTTTTCATAATAAAGCATTTATCTTCTATTACCTTGTTCCGATACATTTAAGCAATTTATGGATTAAAAACTAATTTTCTGAAAGAGGCTTTATTTTTTGTGATGAATTTCATCGCAATATTTGTGTTTATAAGTTAATTTTCGACATTCAAGTAATTTTCTGAAGGAGACTTTGTATGGGAGCTTGGGTCAAATGAGGCCCGATCTTTATGAAATTTGGTCATCAAGGCTTGTATAAAACGTAGTTGTGCCGCTTTTTATCGATATACAGGTATATTTAACATAATTATGAGCTTAGATGCCCTTTCTGTTGTATGGGGGCTAGGTGAAATAATGGACCGATTTTAACCATTTTAATAGGCTTCGTCCTTGGGTCGAAAAAAGAGTGTGTGCCATCATCCAACTATCTTGAACTCAGAAAATGAGTCTAAGCCGATTGGTATACTTTATGACGAATATTTTTGTATGTTACAAATATCAGCACAAACCCAATATACCCTCCCCACTAAAGTGGTGTAGTGTATAAAAAAAGGAGATACAACTGTAACCAACATCCTCAAGCTAAAACAGACTAAAATAATTGATTTTTTAAATAATATAAACAATATTTTTTAATGTAATGGATTTATGAAAATATTAGTTATTTCATTAATAAACATGAATTTAAAATTTTTTATATTCATAATAAATGAATAATATATAAGATTTTCTTTATAAGCACATTGTGGCATACACAAAAAATTTTGTTTATAATCACTTTAGCGATATAGTCCTCAATTAAGGGTAGTTACTATAAGCAAAAAGTACTGTATGATCAAATCAAAGAAGTTTAAGAATTAGATACAATTTTTTTCGAATTTTTTTTTCTAACAAAAATGACATTTAGTGGTTGCACAGAAAAAACTAATACATAACTGGAATGAATTTTGTAATAAATTGTATGAATCGAACATGACTTTTTTTCCCCAAACCATATGAACATGAACGATTTTTTGTTTGTTTTTTTACTCACTTTCTTTGATTTTCATAAAAAAATGCAATAAATATCCGTTACCTATTAATATCTTCCATTTTTTTTTAGAAAATAATCACATATTAGCGAATTTTTATGATAAATAAATAAAAACATTGAAAAACAAAATTATGAAATAAGAACCATCACCAACTAAACATCCATTCTTCAGATTTTGCATGTTACGCGCATATTTCATTCCCAGCAAAAAAGAACTTCCAAAGAAGCGAGAAAAGAAGTAAAATTTACTCCATGGAAGTACTGAAAAAGACCTGAAGAAGTGATGATTTTAACACAGGCTTGTCATAGGAGGGATGTCCTTTTTATTTGATTCCAAATTCACTACACCTGAAGTCATTCTCAAGAAGTAATTTTAATGCTCTTTTTTTGGAAATTATTCGGGAGTAAAATTGTAGTATTATAGAATACAACTAATTTGACTTAAATAATATTAACATTAATAAGGGTAATAGAAACATTAAATACAAAAGCCCAAATATAACATTTTTTATCTCATAAAAATGAAAGAACAAAAAATATATCTTCAACATTGAAAAAATATAATTATTTTTGCTTCTTCGAAAGTCTTTGAAAATCACTTCCTCAGAAGGTAAAAAAATCAATTAGTACTAATTTTGAAGTGGTGATAAATGTTATTCTTTTGGAAGTACATACTTCGTTTTATTTTTGCCGGTTTCTTATATTTGATCAGAATTTCGTACGAAACGTCGAAAGAATGTCAGACATTTGTCCGACTTCAATCAGATTTGTCGAAAATTCCTTCAGAATTTCCCCAGGAATTTACATCAGATTTCATACCGAATTCTGACCGACAACTCTGCACATTTTTCCGAATTTCCTCAGACAAAGAATTCAGAATTCCGAGCAACCTTTCATACGATTTTCGTAACGAATTCTGACGGAATTCGGATACGAAATCGGCAACTTGTGCAGACTGTCGGTACGAATTCGTTAAGAATTCGGAAAAAATAGTTTAATGGGTTATATCCTGGTTTTATATGCCGTCTTTCGTGCATAAAATTTTAATTCATGGTGCCGATATTATAAACCACGTATCTCTACCAATAGGGATGATGTCTGAAGAAGCTCAGGAATCGAGAAATAAGGATCTATGGAATTTTAGAGAACAACATACACGAAAAATTCAAGAAAAAACACAATGGAAGATTTGATGTATTCACTTCTCTTCTGATCCTCTTATTTCCTCGATCTCTAAAACGCCCTTCTTTATATTCCCAAAACCAAATAATAGTAGATAATGACGTCCAAAAATTACTTTTAGAACAAAATATACAAGAAGACCTGTTTGTTCTTATAATTCTGATTCTGATTAAAAACATGCATTTTTGCCTTAAGACTATGTATCAATTGTGCAAATTTTTTTATATCTAAATTATTAAAATAACTGAAATATGTTTAAAATTTACTTTTTTATACTTTTCCAAACAAAAATAAATAACTATGTTTTAACGCTGTTTTAAATTAAATGACGCCAGAATGCGTATTACCCATATATAGATATTTTTAACATAAGGATAATTGTATAAAAAAACTTCCTTAAATCTCAAAAAAGGCATCTTCCATTTTCTGTATGCATTCAATCAAATATAGCTTATAGTGCCATGAGCAAAATATAAAAAATTTTGTGTGGGACAATAAGAGGATCTCGAGAAAATCAGTTTTAAGTGTTATAATGTAACTTATATTATTACCTATGAAACTGCACAACTGAAACATCATTTATATTTCCAATGTTGTTTGTACATTTACTATTGACTTGTAGCTGTCCTGGATTTGACACATTTGGAGTCGATATAAAATAATTGGCTCCATTATATGGGATCGGTAATTGGTTATTTCTGCTTTTAACTTTATTTAATCGAGGATATCTTGTTGATTGATTCATTTTAACCTGAAAAGAAATATATTTATAATCAATCAGCTTATGTTAAATATATTTGCTTATTAAAACATGTATGTATATCAAAAATTAAGTTTGCTTTTACCTCCACCTTCTCACGAAGGTATTAAATATATTATTACTAGGAGGAAGATGAGTTTGATCATGTTAATGAAGAACACTGCGATGAAGATACAATGGAATTAATTCAAACGCGGTTGTTCAAGTTCGATTTATGGTTTACACTTGTTTTGATAACATATGCAAATACTATTTTTTGCAACGTTAGAATCTTATTAACTCCGCTTTATTTACAACTTTGTTGGAAAATTCTAACGAGTAAACCTTTAACGGTACCTAAATATTGTTTGCCACCAATCTACGTTTTGTAAATTAAATATCACTTCTTTTCTGATCGTCAACATAAGCACTACGTGCTCTTGGCGTTATTGCTTCTACGAGGTAAAATAATAATAATAAATAAATACAGAGAGATCTACGTCTCATTAAATTTGCAAATATTTTGTTTTATTTTCATAAAATCTTGGGAAATTGTGGTGGAGCTGAACATTTGGTCCTAGCGAACCGGATTTTTGTGTATCATATACGGATTTTGGCATCTTCACTCCATCATCCCTTGGAAAACATACAGTCCACCGAAGATATATTTTTTATTAATTTTTACGAAATTTCTACGAAATAAGGTACGTAAATATATTTCAATTGTGAGCAAGTGATAAAAAATTATATAGTTGTTTCGCGATCACACACACATATTTTTTGTGATTTTTCAATTGGTTTAACTTGTTGTATTTGTGGATATTTTGCACTAATTTTAACTTTAATTTATATCAAAAAATATTTAAATTCTTTTGATCTTACGGACAATAATTTAAAGTGATATTGTTGATCTTATTTTATTATAAATTAGTGTTTCATTACATTTCTTTTGTGCGTTTGTTTGTTTACAGATTTACATCTGTAAATTCTACAAACAAAATACATTACGGTGTATTCTTGTTCTTCCCTTATATGGGGTACCCTACGGTCGGTCAGTTTGACTATTATCAAGTTTGTTGATATAAATTTTGTAGTCAATTCGTAGTTTAATATCGAGTTATTAATTCATCTATTTTTATTACAATTTTTAAATATTAAAAATGTCGGTCACATCACTAAATGCGTTTATTAGAGCATCGGATGCTCTCGTTGCATACCGCGTGAGGTTTGATAATTTAGATGATGAATTGCATGACGTTTTTAAGTTGGAGATTCGGAAACGGGAGTTAGAAAGACTTTGGGACAAAGTTAATTCGACGTACGAAGTATGTCTTAACACTCTAGAGTCTAGTGAATTTAAAGTGGTAGCGGAAAAATATCAAGCCACATCTTATGAATATATTGAATGTGGAGGATCTATTTCTAAGAAAATAAGAACATTGGAATCCGCTTCAAAAACTAATGAACCTCCAACAGCGAATTTGAATTCCGATAATTCAGAGCATAATCTGACGCTCCCTCCATGCGATATCGACTCTTTCGTTGGGGATTATGTTTCATGGCCCGCTTTTAGGGATTTATTTACCGCAATTTACATTAATAGCTCGCGGCTTAGCAATATAGAACGTCTTTGCCATTTAATACGGAAAACCGAGGGTGAAGCTAAAACAATCGTTTCAAGATATCCATTAAATAATAATAGTTTTGAGTTAGCCTGGCGCGATTTAAGGAATGCATATGAGAATCCTCGTATGTTGGTGCATAACCAACTAAAGCTTTTATTTAGTCTTCCTGCCTTTGACAAGGAGTCGATCACAGCACTCAAAACCTTACAGAGCGGAATCGATAGTTTTCTTACGGCACTTTCTATTTATAATGTGCCTACAGATAATTGGGACCCAATTATCGTGTTTATGTGTATTCAACGTCTACCTAGTTCAACAATTATTTTATGGGAACAGGGCATTAAGGACAAATTAAGTTTATCTTCATGGAAAGATTTAGATAATTTTCTGAAGGAAAGAATTCTGACTTTGCAATGTCTTCAAGAAATTAAAGGTACAAACTCCACTAATATGGAATCTTCATTGCAATCTCACAATTCTTCCGTTAAAATTTCTTGTATTTTATGTCCTAATCAGTCCCACTACTTGCGAAATTGTCGTCGTTTTAAAAGTCTTTCAATATCTGATAGAATTTCAACAGTGAATGAGCATAACTTCTGCACTAATTGTCTTTCGAGGACACATACTGCCAGAAGTTGCAAAATAAATAATAATTGTTATATATGCAATAATCGACATCACTCGATGCTTCATTTACAACATTTAGAAAATTCTGTGGTTGAAAGACCTACTGCTTCTACGGAACAGAACTCTGGTGCGGTTCTACGACCTACTAACTCCCACTACCAACAATCACATACGTCCAACAATGTAACGTCCAATTCACAAGTATTTCATACTAGTCAAAACCAGTCTGTTCTATTAGGCACAGCTACGGTAAATATAATTCATAATAACAATAAGCATCAGGTCCGCGCTTTAATTGATTCGGGATCGGAATGCTCTTACATTTCTGAACGATTACGGAAAAGGTTAAAACTTCCCACGCAATCTGCACACGCTCAAGTTTCTGGCATCAATAATGTAGTTATTGGAGTTTCTAAATATTGTCCGGTGGAAATTGGTTCCGATTTAGACTCTTCAGTAAACCTTATTACAAACGCATTTGTTTTACCAAAAATTTCAGGAAATTTGCCTTCAACTTCCGTAAATATCGATATTAAAAAGTTATTGCCAAATCTTCGTTTGGCGGATTCTAATCTTTTAGATAGTAGGCCTGTAGACATTCTTATTGGTGCGGATTTATATCATCGTATAATTTTACCGGAAGTACAGCAAAATATATTAGGGTCATTATTGGCACAAAAAACTGTATTTGGCTGGATTCTGACAGGACCAGCCAATCCTAGGGACTTTGAATCACATATCGCAAATTTACAATACACTACGTGTTCTAACGCTTCTTAACGTTTGTTTGAATATCACTTAAAATGCTCACAAGAATATATTTACGTCTACTTTAATATACATACTAAATTTAAATACACCACTTTGTGGTTGGGTCATTTATGACCATGCCCCTCTTTAAGGGGCCCAGTTCATGGTCTGCTTAAAACCATTCTCCATTTGAGAGCAGTATGTAGTCTGCGGAAAACTACATCCCATAGGCTTTGTCCTATGGGAACCCTTTTTCTACGAACCCAGTTCATGGTCTGCTTTAAAACCATTCTCCCTTTGAGAGCAGTATGTAGTCTGCGGAAAACTACATCCCATAGGCTTTGTTCTATGGGAACCATTATTTTACCAGCCCAGTCTGGTGTGATACCTTTGATCACTTGTTTTATGAAAAAAAAAAAAAAAATATTAACAAAAAAGAAAAAAAAAACAATAAATTTATAGATATAGATCTCAATGTTAATTGCAACACTCTTTAGTGTTGCAAGGTGGCCGGCAATGTTCAAGTTCGATTTATGGTTTACACTTGTTTTGATAACATATGCAAATACTATTTTTTGCAGCGTTAGAATCTTATTAACTCCGCTTTATTTACAACTTTGTTGGAAAATTCTAACGAGTAAACCGTTAACGGTACCTAAATATTGTTTGCCACCAATCTACGTTTTGTAAATTAAATATCACTTCTTTTCTGATCGTCAACATAAGCACTACGTGCTCTTGGCGTTATTGCTTCTACGAGGTAAAATAATAATAATAAATAAATACAGAGAGATCTACGTCTCATTAAATTTGCAAATATTTTGTTTTATTTTCATAAAATCTTGGGAAATTGTGGTGGAGCTGAACAGCGGTTTTCATCCTTCAATATAATTTGTATTCGCTGCGGAGTATATACACTCCAACTTTGTGTGCAAGATGTCTTAAAAACACTTGAGATTAAAACAAAACTGGAAACCTGCAGATCTCTAATAAAAAGATGGAGAAGTCCAACGTACACCAATATTTTAAAAAAATATGAACAGCAAAAAAGGCTGTTGGAAATAAAAGCTATTAGAGATCCACTAAGCATTGAAAATTGGAGTATATGTACATCTGAGTCCTGATGAATGGAATTTTGCGAAAGAATTTACACAAGTGTTTCAACCCATTTATAATGCTACAATTAAACTACAAACTGTGCAGTTTCAGGGAATTTTACATTATTATAATGGATATATTATTCTAACTTGAAAATTTACCATCGGGTCAAATGCCGGAATTACTTATAAATTCTATAAATAAGAGAAAAAGTAAACTGTTTGACATCGACCCATTTAATGCAGCTATATATTTGGATTAAAATTGCTTGTGTTCAGAGCACAAAGAAAATGCAAAGAAATATATAAACAGTTTATATAAAAAAATAAATTCAATTAAAGATAAGTAATTAAAAATATTATCTATGGATAAATGCATAATCAAACTTAATTAATTTGGTGAAAATATATTAATTACTATTTACTTTTTCTATACGTCTGTGTGTGATAGATGAAGAATCGCCATCAACAAGTACCAAAGCGAAATCTTTGACAGAGTTTTTAAAAAAACTGGATTGAGATACCTCTGAGACCAACTTGCCTTTATTAACGGAATTAGAAGTCAGTTTTCTGGCGTATGAACGAGAACAAATGTTACCCCTGAATGGCAATATTCTGGATTATTGGTGTATTAAAAAAAGTCCCTTATCAACTTTAGCCGAAATAATATTGGGAGTTCCATCTACGCAAGTTAGTGTAGAACGACTTTTTTCGGCTTTAAAATTCATATTGTCAGATCAGCGTAATCGATTGACTACTATTGCAGGTAGTATGAGGCCATTCAACTAAGAAAATGTCGTGTATTTTAATATGAATGTAAAAATCATAATTTCCATTCAAGTTGAACATTATCCTACCTGTATTCTTTATGAATTAGTTTTCTTAAAAAATTCAAAAAACAGTTAGAAGGTTA